TTCCCATAGTTCATCATCTTCATTCCCAGAACTAAACCCTGTTAACAATTGAATGTACATCTTTTACCCTCCTTTCTGTGCATTTTCAAGTTTGTGTGCATACCTGTGTGTCTGTTTTAACAAATGGTGTATTTGAATTTTTCTCGCTTGTTTTGAAGAAGTTTCCATATTGTCTACATTTTTTAAATGCCTGTGTAATATTTCACAATATGACTGTTCCCTAAATTTTTTATCCAGTGACTATTAATATGTTAGTAGTTTTTGTTTTGGGTGTACAGTGTGGCAGTGAGATCCTTGTATGTACATTTGTTAAATGGGTAAAACAATATAAAATGCTGTGAGATTATAAAAGAATTCTGTTACCAAGATCAGATACAGTTATTTGGTCAAGACTTCACAGAGGAACTGGATTTAGGATGGAGAGGACAAAATGTAGAACTGAGTTTATTGAATTAAAAATAAGCATTTTTTTCCATTTTCAGTCTAAGAATTTAGATATCTGTTAAATTAAAATTTATAGAAAGAATTTAATTGTGAAGTAAATTACTTGTTAAATTTAAAAATTGAAAACTCTGCCAGTGGCTTTCATCACAAATAGTTTCTTTAAGTTAAATAACCATACATTTTACTTTGTTCAGTTTGAAGCTCAGTTATTTCAGAAGAGAAGCAGCAGCAGCAAATATCTGTGTGCTTAGTTTTCAAAGCACTATTGCACCATCAGTGATGAAGTCAGGTTTGATTTGGCTTTTGAGGGTTGGTTCGTGCTTGGTCAAGGTGTGGTTCCCTCTGGTAGCTTTTTAACTAGATGACTAGGGTCACAGCATTAATATGAGTGTACTTTCCCTTCACTCACTTTTACAGTGACAGGTAATTGGTTTATTTTGGGCTGTTTATTTTTTATTTTAAATACACCTCCTGTGCATGACCCGATGCCAGAATAAGTGCTTAGTCATGATGTTATGGACAAGAAAATAGATGACTAGTGTTGAGAATTCTGAAAATCTAGCCTTGCCACACCTACTGTCCTGATAGAAATAAGCACTGAGGCTGTGGTGGCAGGGGTGGGGGTGGGGTCTTCCTCCTATGTCTTTGGCCCCCAAATCTATGTTGGTGAACTGTGCAAGACTGTAATGCTGCAGGAGCTGACAGCCCAGAACAGTGAAAGCCCAAGTTAGTCTACCTTTTGAAGAAGAGGAAAGACAGAGAATAGTTCAATACACTTACGAAGGAAAAGAGTTCAAGCAAAGGAGATAATCCAAGGAGAGGCTAAAACGTCCCCCTCCAGAGCTCAGCCCAGTTTTGTCTTGGGGTGCATCTTGACCACCCTTGCTTGTTAAGCCCGGGGCCTCCATGCCAGATGTTCTTCTGTGCCCTCTTTTCCTGGTTTGGGTCATTAAACAAAATTTATTAAATACTCCTGTATAGTTATATACAGGCACAGGTACATAGTAGATAAAACAAAGAAATCCTTGTCCTTGTGGAGCTCACAATTCCCCTTCTACAAATCTGCCTCAAGCCATGTATTCCCCCAGCTCTTCTCACCAGAACTCCACCCCAACTGCAATGATATAATTGGGTCTTTTTTGGTGTTCATTTTGTTCTTGACCCACATAGTTGATTTTCTTCTTTTAGTTGGTTGTGTGGTGTAAATTTAAAGATAGAGTAGGGGAAAGCCTGGAATTCCTGCCAAAGAATAGTATGGGTGGACGAGATGTTTAGGTTTAAACACAGGCAAGGTTTGAGGATAAAAATAAGGGAGATAACTGAAAGAAAGGCAGTAGACAGCTGCTTTGAGTATCTGCTGCGTGCAGAGCTTTTTTAGATGTTATCGGGGATGACTGCCAACTAAAAATGTTAAAAGATAAGTTAGTACTGAAATAATCAAAACTAGCATGATAGAGTGGGACGGGTGTTAAGACTAGTCTAAACAGATTTTCTAGTAAGTACCCTGAAGAAATCAGTCTTTCTGGGCTTCAGTTCCTCTGTGGAATGGGAATAAAACTAGACCAGTGGGTGGTTCACAACAGTGTACATTAAAAACTTCTGGGAGCTTTTACAGTTCAGTTTTTGGAGGGTAGGGTTTGGGCCTATTTACAGAAGCTTCCATCAGTATTATTTAAAAGCTCCCCAGGTTCAGATTGAAAACTGCACTGAATGAAAGGCATTTCCAACTATGACGTCTTAACATTTTATGAAATAAGCATAGCATGAAAAACCACAGCTGTGGAAACATGCTAATAGGACTGTTGGAGTGATTAATGTTAAAATATTAAGAAATCGACTGGCTGATGTGGTAAAGGGGGTAACAACATTCTTTTGCCGTTAACGTCTTTGATTTCTATCTTGTTTTCCTGCATGTTTTCTATTAAAGAGTAGTAAATATTTTTCTACAGCTTTTTCTTGATAAATGTTGCTTAATGAGCAGCTTTAAATTTCCACATGTCTATTGAAAGTTTCAGGTGTGCTGTTTCTTACCACTGGAAAACTCCTTGGTTTGTTAATCCATAGACTAATGAGTGAGAGTAAGCAGTGGGGCCTACCTGGAAAAATCTCAGCATCCTCAGCAATTCAGTGGCACTTCAGGCCATCAGTGTGATGAGGAATTTTATAATGGTGACGTCTATACCTTATTGTTTCCCAGAAGGTATCTTGGAGAACATTTGTGTATTTATATTTGCCCATTGGTTACTTTATGTAATTAAGAACTGAGGTAATACAGTTTTACTGAGAAACTTTTTTTTTTCTTTAGATAGTCATAAAATCTCAGAAAAAAGAATAAAAGCTACCTGATGGTCAAATTGTTTCCTCAGTACTCTGGAAAAATGGTTGTTGAAACTGTATTTGAAACTCTCAGTTACCTAGAAACTCACTCACTCCTGAGGAAGCTTATTCCATCTGTGGAAAGCTGATCATTAGAAAGTATTTTCTTATATTGAAAGGGCTAAATTCTGACTCGCTGGAGTTCTTTGGGGCCATAATAAAATCTATTTCTGCTTCATATTAAAAAGTTCTTCAGTTGATTGATGACTTTTCACGTCTTGATTCTTCTCCAGCTAATTACATCTGTTCTGTAGCTTTTTTGTATAGTTTTGTTTCGAGACATTTTGTCTAATTTATTCATATCCTTTTGAAATGTGTTAGCACACAGAATGTGGGGGTTTTTTTGTTTGGAAAGGGATTTGCTTTTGAAACCGGCTTTCAGTAAGTTTTACCATTTTGCTCATACTGTATTCTGTAAGTTAGTTTTACATCACATAAATTGATCTCAGTCATTCCACACTGTAACCCTTACCCTTGACTAGTTTTTCAGTTTGTTTGATTTTTTAACTCATACCTAGTTATTTGTAAATTTCACTTTCTAAATATAATTATAGGACTTCACATTTATTTCTTTACATTAAATTTTTACTACTCTGTCAATATTTTTGAACCTTAATCCAGTGAATTCACTATCCTTTTTAGCTTGGGATATTGTATAGAACTGATGGTCATGTGCTTTGTTGTTATACATGTCTAAGTGGTTAGCAAAGACGTTAAATAGGCAAAGTCATTTCTAGATAGTATATACAAAGCTAAGGCCCAGATCTATGTGCTGTAGATATACGCTAGTCCTCTTCCTTCCTGCTAGAAACTTCCCTCTGATTGAGTAATGCTGACTTTTTTTTTTTTGAAGATCTGCTTTCTAAATCTTCTATAAAACCAGAGCACTTTTTTCTTGACTTTTCCCAAGATTAGTGTGCTGCTTCTCACTTTTTAGATTCGGTTTAAACATACCTTCTTCAGAAGGGTCTTCTCTGACTGCTTCATCCCAAGTAGCCTCCCATAGTAATGGAAGTGTTACTATTTTATTAGATCACTTTGTTCAGAGACACAATTTTGCTTTATTATTTGTTCCCCCTCTTCTAGAGTGTCAGCTCCATAAGGTCAGAGACCATTTCTTTGCCAGTTAGTGCCATGTCCCTAGTATGGTGCCTGGCACAAATTAGATACTCAGTTATCAGCTGACTTTACTGCTGCAGTGTTCTGTAGTTTTATTTTATGTATAGTTTCTGTAACAAAAACAAAAGGAATGTTTATGATACTTTTTTGAATTACTGTATTTCCTTTCACCAACCTTCAGAGATTCTGAGACATTCCAGTGATGGGCTAGCATGCCTCCAATTGGAAAATCTCTGCTTTACTTTGATCATTTTTAATGACATCTGTAATTAACTTTACATCTAGCCCATTTTTTTGTATTCAGTATGCTTCCAAATGGATTTTGTGAAAGATCTCATCAGTTGCCCAGATACATGTAAAAATGGACAGAGTTTTAGAAATTTTTGTCTCAGGAGAAAAACCTCTAGTTGGGTAAATAATATCTAATTGGAATTCCAAGTAGAAGGATCCTACCACATTCCTTATTGAAATAAATACCTACTATGTATTTATTTTATTTCCCTGACACATGCTTATCATAAGTGGGGTTAGACACTTACTTTTGTGACATCATATTGGGTTTTAATAAACTATCTCTTTGCAAGTTCATTTGGAGTCTTGTCTGGAATCCATATAAGATTACCAGTCTTGTTTAAGGACTCCAGCTTTATTTGAAAATTAGAATGTTCAGAGAATACTAACTGTATAAATCAGTAGTGTGATTTACACATTCTTAGTTTTATTTTAAATAACTGTTAACTTTATCTTTTCTGTATTAAAGGGCCAAGTGAAATATGTTTTGAGATAGAAGCTGGAAGCTTTTTTCAGATTCTGACAGTCTTTTTCTTTGTCCATTTGTTCTTTAGTGCAAAGGTGGTCATGGTTCCCATCTGTTAGTAGACAGAATTCATGCGCGTTTTTTCTGGCACCAGGTTTTATACTTGTCTACGAAATTTTGTAATTTGAAAGTCCAGAAATAAAGAATCATCTGAATGACTTATTTTAAAGAGAACTATGGCTGTTAATGAGTTTTTGAAAAATGTATTTTCTGTTTTAATAATATGTTTTTTTTCCCCCCCCAGAGAATGGATCTTGGAGAATGTCTGAAAGTTCATGACCTGGCTTTAAGAGCAGATTATGAAATTGCATCCAAAGAACAGGATTTTTTCTTTGAACTTGATGTATGTGATTTTGCTTTAATGGGTTCGATTATCTGTAAAACATTTTGAATATGGATTAATGTCTCATAATGAGAAAAGGCTGTTAGCAGATGATCTTTTTTGTGGTTATATGAAGGGTAATACTAAATTAAGTGAGATTATGTGCTTTCTTGACCAACAGTATTTTTTTAAAAATCTTAAAATGAGTATTTTAAGAAAATATGTGAGAGTCATGTAATTCATATGTTCTTCTGAAAATTAAGCGTATTCTTCCCAATAAGTTAGTGGTGCTTAAGGAAATACCAATGTAAGCAAATGTAAACAACTAATTTCTAGTGTATATAAAGCCCTTTAATAATCTACTGGATTTTTACATTAATATTTATTTTTATATTTGTAAATACATATATAGAGGGGGAGAATATTAACGGCAATGTTGTTTTTTATGTAAAACTAGTAGAAGAGAGATTAGAGGAAATAGAAGATACCACTTACGTATCTAAAGGGCTCAAACTCTTGACTTTATATTGTTTATACAAACATGAGAATTGTTGGTATGGAAATAAGGAAACTTTATTTATAGAAGACATACCAGTCAGCATTAGATAAAACATACTAATGAGCACAAATCTTATGATAAGTTTTTTTCAATAAGATAATAGACACTTTATTTGGTTTCGGAGGTAAAGTGGTAAATAGGCCCCTCCCCCACCTACTTCCCTGAACTTCCAAGAATTTCTGCTAATGCAAATGCAGTTATCCATGTAAACAGAGTTTAACATGGCACTGGAGCATTTGAGGAAAGACTCTGAAGTAATTGGGTTGTGATTTAATATATACTGAGCATAAAATACAGTGGAAATTTATCACCACCTAGATGTAGGCATATGGGTCTTCATGTTGTTTTCAGTCTTTTTCTGTCACGGTATAATAATGCTTTGTTTTTATATATTGAGTGTCCACGAAGTAAGTTTCTACAAATAGAATAACTCAGTCAAAGAGCAATTTTGCCAGGTTGCTTTCAGTGAGAATTATCAATTTATATTCCCACTAGTATGTATGAAATGATCTCTTTCCCATATGCCACATAGTTTGTTGTCAAGATTTCTTTGCAGCTTTGATAGATGAAATGTGGAATATAAGTGTCAGTGTACATTTGCTATTTGCCTATCTTGGATGTCTGTATTTTTCTAATTGATTTGTACTGACTCTACATATTATGAAAATTAGTCCCTTTTTTCAGCTAATACATTGCAATTTTTTTTCTGTTTCTCTTTTGGTAGTTGTGAGCCTTGCAAAATATTTTTATAGTTGTCTTGTGTATTAATCTTTTAAAAATCTGTTGGATTAATTCAAAAGACTTTCCTTTTCTGATGTGATCAAAGTTTTCTCCCATGGTTTCTTCTGGTATTTCTGTGGCTTCGTTTTACACATTTAAATATATGATTCAACTTAAATTTATTCTGGTCTAAGGATCTCTCTTTCTTTTTCCAGAAGACTACTTAGTTGACCCAATACTATTTATTGAATTAGTTCATCTTTTCCCAAAAGGAAGTTTCAATAGATTTCTCTTGTGATGTTTAAAGATAAAATTTAAATTATGAAAGAGTTAAATAGCTATTTCTTTGCCATTACAGATAAAAGCTTTAACATTTGTGGTTTTTTAAAATAATTTTTAAATAATTCTTTTGTTTGTTTTATTTTGTGGGGGAGGTAATTAGGTTTTTAAAGTTTATCTTTTAATGGAGGTACTGAGGATTGAACCCAGGACCTCATGTATGCTCGGCACTCACTCTACCATTGAACATTTGTGTTTTAAATTTAGCTTTAATTAAAATATAGAAGTCTAAGTTGCTTAGTTTGGGAATAAATCTTAGAAGTTTACTTTTAAATGAACTATTATTACAGATGTATTAATATATGCCTGATAAATGTCATTTATATAAATATTGAACTGGATTTTTGCAATGTAGATACTACTAAGATTCTCGTTGGTTTGAGAAAAGGGCAAGTTTCCCTGATTATGACATTTTCTTTAAAAAATTTGAAAAACAGTAAAACAATTAAAAGTTATCTGTATATTTAGAAATAATTAACACTTTGCGTATGCTCTTCCATTTTTTCCTATGCTTTATTTTATAAATTGGGGTCTTATTACATACAACAGTCTAACTTTTTATCTACAAATGAATCATGTCTTTAAGTGTTGTACTAACACCTTCTTTAAATAGCTGAAGATCAAACTTTCTATGTGTTACTTGGATATTTAGGCTGTTAACAACTTTTCACCATTAAAGATGACAATGTGAAGGATAGCTTTGAATATTCTTTCATACATCTATGATTACTTTCCTAATAGATTTCTAGGAGTAAAGTTACTAAGTTTGGGGACAGTTTTAAGGCTTTCGATAACAGAGTTACCATGTTGTCTTTTTATTAAGGTTATACTGGTTTGTGCTTCATTCAGCAGAGTATGAGAGTGGCAGTTTCCTTACCATTCCTGGGAATTACATATGTTTGTGTTTATTATTTGTTTATTGTCAGTTTGATAGATTATGAATAATGAGTCAATTTATCATTGAACCTACTTTTGTTATCTTTTTTACTCATAAGCATAATTTTTGAGTAAAGATTTTTTTTAATAAAGTTGATTTTTCCTGCAGTAATTGTCATTTAATCAAACTTTGTAGGCTATGGATCATCTGCAGTCATTCATTGCAGACTGTGATCGAAGAACAGAAGTGGCTAAGAAAAGGTTAGCAGAAACTCAAGAAGAGATTAGTGCTGAAGTGGCAGCAAAGGTAAGATTTTCAATCATTTCATTAGTACAAAGAATAGTTTTACTTCACTACTTCTATTTTAACTTTTTATTTTGAAATAATTACATTCATAGGCGGTTGCAAAGACATATATAGGGAAATTTTATGTACTTTTAACTCTAGCCTCCCTTATGTTAACTTCTTAGACAACTTTAGTATAGTATTAAAGCCAAGAAATTGATATTGGACTAATCCTTACATTTCATTCAGATTTCACCAGTTATGCGTGTGTGTGTGTGGCTCTATGCAGTTTTATCACACGTGTAACTTGAGTAACTACCACTGTAATTTAGTTACCTAACTGTAGCATCACCACAGTACTCCTTCATGTTACGCCTTTATAGCCACACCAGTTCCCCCTTTTTCCAAGCCCCTGGCTGCCACTAATCTGTTTTTCATCTCTATAATCATGTTATTTCATTGAATATTATATAAATAGAATCATGCAGTATGTATCCTTTTGAGATTGGCTTTTTTCACTCAGCACAACTTTCTTGAGATCGTACAAATTGTCTGTATCAATAATTCCTTTTTATTTCTAAGTAGTATTTCATTGTATGTCTATACCACAATTAAACCATCTACACATTGAAGAACATTTCTGTTATTAGCTAATACCAGTAAAGCTGCAATAAACATTTGTGTACTGATTTTTGTATGGACATGAATTTTTATTTCTCTGGGGTAAATGCCCAAGAATGCAGTTGCTGGGTCACTTAGAAAGTCTATTTTTAATTTTGAAAGCAAGTGCCAAACTATTTTCCAGAGAGTGGCTATACCATTTTTATATTCCTGCCAGCAGTGGTCAGTCAGTGATCCAGTTTCACATCCATGCCAACATTTGATGGTGTCACTATGTTTATGTTTCATTTTAATCATTCTGCAAGGTGCATGGTGATACCTCATTGCAGTGTCAATTTGCATTTCTCTAATGACTAATGATGCTGAACATTTTTTTCACATACTTATTTGCCATCTGTATAACCTCTTCAGTGAAATGTCTGTGTATGTCTTATGCCCATTTTCCAAGTGGATTACTTATTTTTTTTAATGTTGTGTTTTAAGTGTTCTGCTTTACTCACTTCTTTGGGGTGGGGGGAGGATTATTAAGTTATTAATTTATTTTTTTAGTGGAGGTGCTGGGGATTGAACCTAGGACCTTGTGCATGCTGGGTAGGGACTCTACCACTAAGCTATACCCTCCTCGCTTACTCACTGCTATTTTAAAATGTTTTATTGTGAATTTAAATGCAAAAAGTACAGTGAACTCCAGTGGATTCAAAGCCGTCAGTTTTCTCCTGTTTCATTATTTTAAAAGTAGATTTTAGATGTCATAATCATTTCACCTTTAAAACATAACCACAAAATCATATTCCTAAAAGTAACAATGATTATGTAATATCCAGAATGTGTTTCTTTTTCCTATGTAGAGTTGGTTTGCTCTAATCAGAATTCAAAAGTCCATACATTGACTTATTGATTTGATAACTTACTACTTTATAATATTTTATACCATTCAATATAGTCCAGCACATTTTATGAAAATGCAGAATGGAGATGAAGAGTTAACCCAATAGAGTTTAGGTGACAGCATTAAATATAGTGCTCAGATATGTGTGTACAAAGGGAAGTGAATTCCCTTGTTTGAGGAGAGGGTTACTTTTAACCAACTTTTTTTGGAAAGTTCTCTTAAGACTATAAAGATGAGCATTCTAATATACAAGGGATCTCATATCTCATGGTTGAAAGAGATCCACAGGTGCTGGCTAGACCCCAGCTGTTGTGGTTTACACAGCATTGTATTGGTTATCCATAACTACAAAAGTGCTGTTTAATAGGCTTCCTCAAACTTAAAATATTATTTATTTAGCCTATGAGTCTGTAGTCAGTGATTTAAGCTGACCTTGACTAGGTAGTTATTCCTGTCTCAGCTGGACTCGTACATATCTTCTAGTCAGCTGGAGGCTGCTGAACTGTGCCCAGAAGGCTAGCCTGGCCAGGTTCTCATGGTGGTATCAGAGGTGCTGAAGCATCAAGCCCAGCCATGCAAGCACTTTTTAAGCCTTTCCATATGTCATACTTGCTACTGTCCTGTTAACCAAAGCCAAGCCAATTACATGGCAAGTTCAGTCAGTGCATATGGTTCTCAGTTACATAGCAAAGGGCATGGATATAGAAAGGGTGAAGAGCTTTGAGCATTAATGCAATCAGTCTGTGGTAGTAGTAGAAGAATTTTATTAAAGAGTTAGGATAATGATAATAGAGTTGGGAATTTATTTGAGGGACAAATTTATCTCAGATTGAAGAAAATTTAAGAAGTAAAGATTATTGGCACACTACTTTGTCGGGACTGGATGTCCGTATCAAATTAAAACATTCTTTGCTAATATAATTGGCTACACAGGCTGAATACTTATTTTGTAGCCAAAATAAAGACTGTGTAGTACACCAGAAATGGATACAACGTTGTAAACTGACTATACATCAATAAAAATATAATATAAATACCAAAAAAAAAAAGACAGTATATGTTAATGTGCCATTAAAACAATAGGAATGAACTAGATTCCCAGGGTGATGGTGGTGAGGAGACATATCAAATCCTAAGGCAAGAATTAGTCCCAATGGAAAGACATGGACTGAGGGGGAAGGGGTGCCATGTTAGACTACTGAAAATCAGTCGTGTGCTGCACAGTGCATGTACAAGGTGTATTTTCTCACTCTCACAACTTTGTGAGATAGGTATCACCCCTACTTCTCAGATGAGGAAGTAGATTCAGGTTATGTAATCTGGTTACAGTTCCACAGCTAGTAATTGACAGTAAGCTAGAGGGACTCTAAAGCTATCTATTTGCTTTAAAGGGTATCCACCAGTTCATTCCTTTTACTTATATTTGAGCCTATGCTATTTCTTGGACATTGGAAATACAAGAATGGGAAGTCTTTAAAGTGGTGTGATACATATAAAATAACTGTCATAAAAATACAAAGGTGGCACAAAGGAGAGGTGGCTCTCTCTGCTTAAGTGTCTTAAGTGAGGGTCAGATGTGGTGATTGATTGTTTAAGAATGCTTCACAGAATAGACTCTTCAGTTGGATCTTACTGAATGGATAGACATACACGAGGCAGGTGAGGGAGGTAACGGATGACATTCCAGGAAGAGGGAGCAGTGTGTGCAAAGTCACAGAGGCAGAAAACAGGGTAAGTTTGGGAAACTGTAGCTGTAGATTTGTTGTGAAGTCGGAGAACAGAAAGAGATGGTTTGGAAAGGTACAGAGTGCCAGATTGTGGAAGAAAATGTATTTTATACTTGGAATACACTGTCAAAGCAGAGGTTGAAGAGTAATAGTTATATTGAGATCAGTTACGTCCTTGACCTTACTGAAGTAAAGGCAGGCAGACTCAAAACATCCTTATGTCCCACCAGTTCACTTACGATGTGCTCAGAAAGCATTATTTAACTCATGTTGCCTTAGATAACTGTCTTTTCTAGCATTTATGAAATTTTTTAAACTTTGGTACATTCTGCTTTTTATTCATGATCTTTTCTGTTTCTTTCTAGGCAGAACGTGTTCATGAATTAAATGAAGAAATTGGTAAATTGTTGGCTAAGGTAGAACAGCTAGGAGCTGAAGGGAATGTGGAGGAATCCCAGAAAGTAATGGATGAAGTAGAGAAAGCACGGGCAAAAAAAAGAGAAGCAGAGGTAACTTACTTTTAGCATCTATACTCCTAAAGAGTGCATATTTGACTGGAAATTACTGAAAAGTTATTACTATTTAAACCAATTTAAAATATTAGTCTGTGTCATACTGATGGGTTGTATATCAAAATTAGTGGGATTTTTTGGAATTTAGAGTCATTGATCTGTTGAAATTTATAACGGTAAATGAAATAAACTAAGCAAGTCATATACAACAGTCACACACGTAAGTAGACCCAGTGCAGTCTTCATACACGTGGTCACTGTGATCCCATCCCTACTCCATCCCCACGCAGCTGCAGTGTTCTCCCTTGTCTTCCCACCTTAGCATAGTCTGCTAACACCCTGGGAACTCACTCTCGTTCTTTCTCCACAGTACAGGTCAAAATCTGGTACCTGCAGACAAAGTTACATTTTGTCCCCCTCCACCAGTGTTTATTAGAAAATCGAATGCCTTCAGATGAGATTGTACTCTCCCCTTTTGCCATTATCTCCATTGAGCCTAACTGTATCACACTTGGGTTTGATTTGTTATTCTCTAGCCTCTTAAGGCAGAAGCTTAGATCATTGATTTTAGACCATTAAATGCTGTAAGTTTTCTTCTAAGCATGACTATAGCTGCTTCTCACAGATTTTCATATGTGTTTTTATTTTCATTCTTCATTTCTAAATATTTACTAATATTGCTTGTGATTTTTTTTTTTGACCTGTGGGTTATTTAGGCATGTGTTTAGTTTTTCTATATTTGGGGTTTTTCCAGATATTTTTCTTTTACTGATATTAATTTATTTCTGTTGTGGTCAGAGAACGTGTGTGTGATTTCAGTTCTCTTAAATATGTCAGTACTTGTTTTGTGTCCGTGCATAAGGTCTGCCTTGGTGAATGTTCCATCTGCATTTAAAAAGAATGATACTCTGCCTTGTTAAATGGAGTGTTCTATAAATAAAATGTCAGTTGAGTCAAGATAGTTGATAGATTTGTTCGAGTCTTATATATCCTAATGATTTTCTGCCTCCTTGTTCTACTGTTCACTGAGAGGAGTGTTGAAGTCTCTAACTAGAATTGTGGATTTGTTTGTTTATGCTTTCCATCTTGTCAGTTTTTGATCATATATTTTGAAGCTCTGTTATTAGGTTAGTATATATTTAGGATTGTTATTATCTTTTGATTAATTTAACCCTTTATTACTTTGAAATGTCCTTCTTTGTCCCTAGTGATGAATCCAC